CATTCGGAACTATTATAAAGGTTCTTTCATAAGGTCGTTCACAGAAGCATAGGTGTAATGGGACATAAAAGGATAAGGATAAAGTTTTTGGCGGTAATGAATGCCGTCTGATGGATGCGCCCCGCGCTCGGCTTCCCTTCAGAATCGTAGTGGCGTGATGGCGTGATGAGTGCACAAATATACCTACGTGTTTGGCCTATTCAATGTCTGCGGTGGCCAGCCGATGTACAAGTCAGTGCTTTTATCCTCCCAGACAGAGCATTAGACAGTATTATTCGCTCATCCGATCTCAATCCGTGTTTGACAGCTATTCGCGTGTGCGGTGGAACAGTAAGGTAATACAAAACAGTGACTTAATCCGGAGGTAGATGGTTGGCCTTACCGGCGCGATGACGATCAATAGCAGGACTTCCTGCCGCTCATGTAGGATGATATTTTTTTGTGTTCCACCGCCTCCGCTTTCGCTCCCTCCCCCCTCTGTCCTCATTGCCGTTTAATAAGGGATGTTTAACGAATGTTGAACTCCTATTTGCAGGAGTTTCCGCCATTTCTCGTCTCTCAAGCTGTAATTCTAACTACTCTATGGCTCAAATCCTTTCATCTACTTACTTTGGTTGTTCCTCTTCTTATCGTTAAGAACATCAATATATGTATGCGAAAAAAAAAACGACACATCTATTTCAGCAAATGTTCTGACCGGTGAATAAGTTTTTAAAACGATTTTTAGGCAATAGGACATGTGTTAGCCTCGTTCATTCGCTTATCAATCTCTGCCAAGTCATTTGTTGAACTCGTATCTAACGGATTTTTTTCTGTTCCAAAACGGAGGGCAGAGATGGTGAAGTGGCATGTGACGTACTATCTCCACGCGTTCGGGCCACGTATCCCGGATAAATACCACCCAAGCCTACATCCCCACGCATCGGGTAATTGTCTGGAGGGATAAAAACACTTACCTGTTGAAGCCGCAGGTATAAAGCGCATTCAATCGATCAATAAGTAGCCAGCGTAATATAGATTGATTACAGGAAGGGCGAAACTAACCAGATAAACAGGGAAAAAATAATCTCCATAGTGGCAGTGGAGAATTTAACCAACCCTAACATTATCCCCTCCCCCCGTGACTCTCTCAATGGTTGTGTTCACGATTAGCGCATTTCAACAAAAGCTGGTGGGCGGCGCGCGGCAGAAGTTGTGTTCACAGTTAGCGCATTTCAGTAAAATCTGGTGAGTGGCGGGCGGCAGAAGCAGGCAGTTTAACTTCCGGGTGTTGTCGTTTTTTTTTGCTAGTTTTAACGAAACGAAACTTCGAGAAGCAGGATTTCGACGTCCCGTCAAGGTGTGACACAGTAACCCACAATACCCCGTCACTCCGGGGCCTCACCCAGAGTGCCTTTTTGTTGCGTCGCGTATGTGGCGGGTGGTGGCTTTTGAGGTGTATTTGGATTACTGTGTGACTATTCAAGAGACTTTGAAATCCGTCTTATGATCCTTTCAAGTGAACCAAAAAGAACTAACGGAAACAGGAAAGTATTCAATGAAGAAGCATTAATCAATGGTTATACGAAGAAAAGCACAACAAACTTCCGAGTGATGACATTAAACCCACACATTTCAATGTTCGAAATATGATACATAGAGGTTGAACTAGGCAAGGAAGTCTTCTGTCATGGCCAAGATGTGCTCGAAGGAAACAAGTAAGCAATAAATGGGTGAAACTGTTAAGGCGGGAGGGGGAGGGAGGGGGTCACAGCGCTTAATCGTGCTTACACGAGTTTCCACTCGTTCCAACACGTTTTCGTGCCCTTCTCTGGCCTGTCTCAGCAAGATAATGTAATGGGAGCTACCCTGCACACTTTTCAATCATTTGGGACTATTCCTTCCCCACTTCAGCTTTTTGAACAGGGTCAACACCTAACCTGCCCCGGTACTTTTCCTCTACGTAACCTTATACAGAAACTCCACCGCACGCACGCGACAGACGGACGGACGGGCGCACGTCGATTGAATCCTTGAAGTCTGAAGGCAGCCTTTCAAACGACAACCCACCGAACGCGTTGCCGGCCGCGCGTTGACAACGTAAGACAGATTGCGTTCAGGGCCGCGTGAGCTGTATCGACTAGTGTCCAGCGATGTTAACGCGTGGCCAGCAACGCGGTCGGTAGGTCGATTATTGGCTGAAATAAGGTACATCGTTAAACTTTGAAAGCATCCCTTCTCCGCTGTCTTAGTAGAGACACAGAGCACAGGGAAATGAATCTCTTCCCCAATTCCTCTTTCGCCTAATAAATGTAAAAGATGTAACTAATCGACATGAGAAAAAATAGAGCAAAATGCCTACACAATTTGGACGTTTGAACGTTTCTCGTACAGCTACAGTCATGCACCTGTTGGATGACGAAAGAAGGCAGACGTCAACGCCCGCCGCTCATCATCCTTGAAAGTCACGAAGTATGAAAACAGTCAACCAACGTGTTCAGGCACAGTGATGGCCAGTAGCTGATGGACGGCGAGACTGGCACCAACGAGGCTAAGAAAGATGCTTTTCGGATGCTTTTCCCCTCATCTCCGACGGCAGGCATCTACAATACGCGAAAATATTAGACTTTGAAAAAAGCTAGTCAACAGATTAGGTGGTTGCATTCATACTCAGCATTGGTGATGGGCAAAAGATGATGGGTTACAGGTCACGAGTGTAGATCCCGATTGACGACCACGTGATCAATGTTTAAGAGATAAGAGGGAGGATTTTACAAATGAGAAGCGCATTTTTCTCAGACGAGCCGCTAAGTCTTTGACGTAGGAGACGAAAGCAGTTGACGCAATAGATGGCAAAGTAGAAAAACATGTTCCTGTGCTTCAGTGGCTGCTTTCAGACCTCGACGTCCGTCCGTCCGTCCATTCAACGCGTGTTGCGACGGTGGTCGCGTGCATGCCGCGACCGCGCTTTTAGAAAGGTGTTGACAGCGCTGGCACGTGATCTAGTATTGTCAACACCTCTGTAGAACCACCGTCGCGACACGCACGCGGCCGCCGTCCTTTGGAGCAGACATTGGCATTCCGACGCAGGTTTGTGTGTCGAAGCGCACATAGTTGCGTTAGACCGCAGTTACTATGGATGCACCCGGGTGCCGTAACTTCTCCCCGAATTCCCGCGGACAGAGGGCAATAGTTCCACGGCGACTGCCGTATAATTTCACTGGAACTTGAAATTTTCCCTTCGTAGCGCGCGATCGAGTGCAGCGAGCGCGACAAGCCGTTCGGGGAGAAGATTCCAGACTCGGAAGCACCAACTTACGCTTTCATCCCTCACGAGTCACAGCGTTGCAGGCGAAAGGATACCGATGATTGGATACTAAAGAGTATGAATAAGGAATACCTAACAGGACAAGAAGGAAGTTTTGTGCAGATATGTGTGGCAGTTATGTAGCGATGGGACCTTCGCCGCAGCGTTAGAGATCGCTACTCACAAACAGCCATATCGCTTTGTGTGGAAATGAAGTGGGTATTCATAACATAGTTGTGTTCAGCAGCATAGCCTTTGTATGAGGTATTGATGGTAACATCACTGCAAATATATTGAGCAATAACAACCAATCCATACCGATTAATAACACTTGGTGGCCTAAATGCCTGACCAGTTTGCTACGGGGTATTGGTACAGACGATTGGATACTGAGGGGATGAATAAGGGATGGGCTGTAGCGTTGTGAGAATTTCGGCCTAGCAGTCATTCTATAGTGAAGAATGCTACAGAACCGAAGAGGACTAGTTGTAAAAGCAAATGTTAAAACAGAGCAATGAGCAATGGTAAGTTCTGCATTGAAAATCTACGTTTGCATTCACACTCACGAAAAGGGAAGTATTTTGAAGAAAGCTTAAATTCAGCGAGTAAAAGATGAACATCAAAATCTTTTGATCACATGAAATCAATGGTATCGGGAGGAAGTATGTCAAGGTTAGTCAGCATTCCGACTTTGTCGCAAAAGGAAAGGAAGAGCAGCATAAACAAGTTCAACAAACTGACCACAATGAATTCTAGCTTTACTATTGAAAGCAACCACGCGTAAAAAAAGTTCCATCAATATTTCTCCCAAACTGGCTTGCCCGTTGGCATCCCATGTGGCTGTTGCTAACGTGTTAATGAAGGATAATTAAGAACATATCCCAAACCACGACGCGATCGTTGTTTTTGGAAAAACACTACAATTCTTGAACTCATTTTCCTTTTAGAGAGTCTTCATGGCCCTTATTCTAGGGCTTTTGACGGAATTGATCCCCATCTCGCCCAGTTTCTGCTGTTGATCATAGCTGGATTTTTCAGTTGTCTACTTCTTTCTCTTACCTCTCATCTTGATGTCACATTCTTCCTTGTAACATTGAAAGTAAAAGGAAGAGAATGTTGTAGAAATGAAAGATCTGAAGTGACAGATTCCTGCTCAACTGGTCTTCCGTTGTCTGCACCTTTTTTTTNTTTTTTTTGGGTCTTCCCACCCATTCATGCTTTACCATCGTATTACGGCCTTGCTAGTCTCTTTCTGTGTCTTCCTCCCCTCTGTCCTCGGCTAGAAAACTAGTGATCAACAGGGTATTTTGATGTAAATAAGTCAAATGTTGCTTATTCAATACCCACAATGAACATCCACTTCACCAGTTTTGATCTCAACCTACTTCTCTGGAACAAAAGGGTTGAGCCGAGGTTCCTTTCGGATGCTATTCTACTGGAATTCAAGGAAATGACTGCTAGAATTCTGCTGCTAGAATTGAGAATTCTCAAAATCTAGTGAAAATATATAGCCCTTCGTATTCCCGCATATATGAGCTCTCCCTTCTCTGCTGGTTATGATGATGATCTGATTCCTTTTCTAAAATCCCGTTAACGTAGTCAATACGAATTTGATGTAGAATTGCTTGCTATTCAACACTGTCGAGGAAACTCACCCTTTCACATTCATACCTTCGCTTTTCAGCAGGCAACTTTGATGTTCTGAGTCACTGCAATGGAGTCATCAAGTGGTGAAGGTCGAGCCGAGCCTCCTGCGATGTCTTCCACGGATGTGGAACCATCAAGTTCGGCATCAAAAGCAACGCAATCCATGGAAGATTCCGATGACCATCGTAAGATTACAGTATGCCGTATTGCCTTCGATAACAATCCTTTCGGTTTGTAGACATGTGCCGAGTTTGTCGGGGTGAAGATGGTCATCTGTACTACCCATGTCTTTGCACTGGCAGTATAAAATATGTCCATCAGGAGTGCCTCACAGAATGGTTGAAGTACAGGTAATACTGGTATACCTAATTCAAGTGCAGCTTGCAGTTTATTCCCGAAGAGGTTATTGCACTTCCACTTTTTTATGTCTCTCTCTCTAAAAAATCTGTTTCAGTAAAAAGGAAGTTTGCGAACTTTGCAACTACAAGTATTCCTTCCAACCTATATATCGGCATGATATGCCAAAAGCATTGCCACTCGCGGAGATACTCAAAGGTATCCTACTTTTCTTAGTCTCCAATTCCTACTATCATCACAACGGTCTTTCTTANTTACCTAGGTGTTGCGGTAAACGCAGCAGTAATGCTGCGAACATGGCTAGTCTACACAATGGTATTGGTATCGTGGTTAGGTATAGTTCCGTTAACCGCAGCGAGGATATACCACGCTGTATTCTATCTGTCTATGCAAGAGATCCTCGTCCTTCCTCTCACTATATTTCGGACTGAACACATTTTTCCTGATGTTTTTAAGGTGACCTACTTTCAAATTTAGGTTTTCCGCTGTGAAGACGTTCTGTCGATATTTTAGGGTTGCTTTTTGCTTGTCATATTCATTTGTACATTCATTTCTTTGGTATGGCTTCGTGAACAGATCATTCACGGAGGACCACACGATTTCCTGAACATAGGTAGCCCTTTATAAGTTGCTGCCTTAGTGATTTATTAAGCTACCCCTATGAATAAAGTATAAACATTAAAGAGCAAGCAGACACTACTTTGAATGGCGTAGTGGACCAGGAGCTCCAAGGAAATCAGGGAAACGGAGCCGTCGATGCAAATGAACAGGTCTTCAACTTTCTTCCTTAGTTGATTTCTTACATCATTACAGGTTTATCGTCAAAAGCAGGCAGGTTTTTCTGAGATAAGCTTGAGCAGATGTCTTGATTAGATGATTCAGCGTTTACTTTCTATCAATGCTCTGTGTCAAGATCTATTGAAAGTTGCCAGTGTTGGTTTTGAACAAACTTCTCATGCACAGGGTTTCTCAGGTCTAATATAAGCACTCCTTTTGCTTTGCTAATGTGTGAGCTATCTCTCTCTGCCCTTTTTTATCCCATACCCACTTCTCCTTTCTTTCGTTATCGAAGCTGAATGATGATGGTCATGCCTACAAAATGCGCACATTTGCTTTACAAATTTTCAGTTCACCAGAATCGGTGCTAAATGATAGAAAATGTAAAAGTTCCTTCCAAAGAAGCATCTCTTTGATTTTCGCGACACCTGGGGTAACTATGCATGCATTCACAGAATCGTAATATACTTAAGTCAATCTTTAGGACGTGGTCGACGAAGGCGAAAACGAGGATCACGACAATTATGAAGTGGAACCCATGGAAGTGGATTCAGATGGCGAACATGGACAGGTATCTTTTTGCGTCACGGCTAAGCTGCAGAGCTCTTGTTGTTTTGTTCACATCCCTTTGCTTCGTGCTAATCTTGTAAACAGATTTCCAAATTTGTGCAGCATGCTGCTCAAAGAGGCGCTATCGTATAGGCTGCGTTTAAACTCTGGTGGCGAGCGAGAGCGGGTGTCGGTTCGATCGATATATCACTCGGTTCCTTATACGGTCCATATCATTTATGAGATTTCGGGTCTCTTTTCCCATTCGAGCTTGGCTTGAATATTTGTCGGTGTACCTCGCTTAGCGAGCAAGGGACCATCGAAAATTACCTAAGCCAGCTCGCTTACCTCCTCTCTTCAGTGCTTATTGATAGAGACGACGAGCACAGAAGGGTGTCTCTTAAATCATATTTCGAAACCGGCATCTTACTAATTGGCCGGGAGAAGTCGCGTAGTGCTAGTGGACACGACTCCTTATTCGATGGTTCAGCGTTACCTTCATAGTACAGCGTCAACCGCTGACACTCGGCACCCGCAGGTTGCGCCAGCGTCTGTGCTGCCGCTGACGACTTCTTCGCTGAACGCTATTTTCTGACGTGAGCTGTGTAGAGCTACTTCATAGTGATGTAAACAAGGAACAAACAAGAAAGCAAAGGAGAAGATAGGGAAATACGATAGTCGGAAACAAACTCTAAGCGAATAAAAGAATTGATTTGAAATGATTGTAAATCTGGGAATTATCAAAAGAGTTACCAAACAAACTATTGGGTGCTTTCAGACTTCACCGACGCACATTGTTCCCATCGACCGACGGTGTTGTTGGCCACTTTTTGATAACGTAGAACAGATTGCGTTCAGGGTATCAGGAACGCTGGACATCGATCGATACCGCTTACGCGGCTCTGAACGCAACATGTCCTCCGTCGTCTACATGTGGTCAGCAAAGCCGTCAGCCGGTCGGTCTGTTGGTGGATACAATGCACGTCGGGAAGTCTCTCTGAAAGCAGTCATTTGGAAAAGCGAGATCGTATCAAAAGAAAATCACTCAGCATTCAATGTAAAAAATCAAGTTGATGTGGTTGATGTGAGAAAAGGGCGGAGTACGACAGGTACTTATAATGCTCAAAAATTCATTCATAACATTATACATCGTCGATGTGGGGGTGCGCTTTTCCGCGCGTACGTCGAAACTAGGTCACGCTGCAGCCGTCGTCCGCGGCGCGCCAGCTCGCGATTTTTGCCGGCACGCAGACAGAATCGTGCAAGCGAGCGCGATGCGACGGCAGCGCTAGCCACCTGTTGGTAGCACTGGTGCGTGATCCATCGGCGTCCATTGTTGTCAACACCTCTCTGCGGCGCGTCGCATATCCGCTCGCGATTCTACCTGCGTACCGGCACGCACGCAGTTAGAATCGTGCCGGTACGCATGCAGGTAGAATCGTCGAAGTCTGAGAGCAGCCAGTCAGTTTAAGGGAAATATAACACATACTATTGCGAATCACGTGTTCTACTTTCACTTAGTGGTACTATATTGTCACCTCGAAATTGCAGTGCGTCGAAATGGGCGGGGTTACCTGATTTCAACGGACGCGCGGAACGGATGTTCCCTCGACATGGGGAATAATGGGGAATGTTGGTCTAGGATCGACGCCTTCTCTTGTTTCAATGACGTTTCATGCTGTACTACGACCATCCAACTGTCCGGCGCCACGAGACCTCTACCAAAAGCACGCGGGGCTCACTCTCGAGTTCGTGGTTGACATTCTGCGTTGACATTCTGCTCGTATATTGTTTAATATTTTGACTACTATGGTATAACGTGACGGAAGTATATTTTCATAGAAGAGCTCTGCGCTGCTCTGCTAGGGAAATATCGTGTTCCAACGTAAACACCGTCGACGGGGGTGCGGACGCTAACGCGGCTTCGACGCTATACGCTCAGCGCTCATCGCTGTGCTCTGAAAGCGCCCAATTAGATCTGACACCTTCATGAGCCACGAACGTCCTTGATTTACTTCGACTCTTTCTCGTTTGACGACTGATTACAGCTTCAAGCATTGAGTACTTAGCAGTTCACGTTGAGTGTGTCCTAAAATGTATCTTTACTCATTCTTAATATCAGTGTCTTAGTACAATATATCGATTGATGCGGCACCCTAGTACCTCCCCACACCTCTCATCAGACAGCGCGGAGTATTAATACAACTACATACTAATGTTAACACTCTAATGTCCCACGAGTTTTAGGCGGAAGCCGTTGGAGATGTGGAAAGAGAACATCTGATAGCAGACCATGATGGAATACCTGGTGGGTTTCTTTCTTATTGAGATGGGGTTTTCTCCTAAGAGTTGTGGTTTCTATTGCTCATCCTCCTCTTCCACTGGAAAACACTTTTTTTTCAAGAGCATGCGCAACCCCAACCGGCAGCTGTGCAACCAGGGGTGGAAGTACCGCCAGCTGAGGATAACTGGAGAGATTTGGACAGGTTTGTTTTATCAGTCCTGCTGTTATGACATACATTCAATTTTATCATAGATAAACTAAATCGATTGTTATTCATGCGTAATGGTTTTTTTTAGGCTCGGCGACGAATTGACATGGCAGAGGCTTCTTGGATTAGACGGCTCTCTTGTTTTTTTGGAGCGAGTCGTTTGGGTAATATCTTTGGACACGTTGTTCACCATCATGTTTGGTGGGTGATTTTTACCACAAATGCTTCTTTTTGCATTTGTTTCGCCTCACCGTATTGCTGGTGTCATCCTGTCCACAGTAATCATGGACTTTGTTTCTTACTTCACAGTGTAAAAATAAATTCAGAAGGAGTGAACCTCAAGTGACTTTTTTGGATTATTAACAAGTTCACTTCAAGGTGACCCAGCCACCACCACAAATCTTAAAGTTCCCACTATTTCTTGGCTGTTTTTCTTGTTTCTGGGTCCCCTTTGATTCATTCCTGTAGTCACGGCAGAAAACTCCATTTTTCCTTAACAATCTAAACACTTGTGCCGCAGAAGAATGGGGATTCGAGTGCTGCTGAATAACTTGATCCGTTCTTTTCAGCATACGCACCTTTCAAGCTTGGATATTTTATTCTCAGCAAAGTTGGAATTCAACAATCTATACACTATTTCCCGTCAATTGCTGCTATATTGACGGGATATGTAGCAGTCACAGCAATAATCTACGTGCTACACTATTTCGTTGGAGTTCTTCGTTTTAGCAGGTACACTCCCCATTAATTTTATAAATTCTTTATATGAAGATGTCCAAAAAAATCGCGACTTATGAGCTTATAGCCGGCGAAACCGCATGGATGAGCAAAGTGAAGAGAGTTAGGAAAGTGTGGTCACTTTCTTCATACGCTCGAGATTTGTTTTCGTAGATTTTACCCAGAAGTGGGCTACACCTGCGACCCTCATTGCTGTTTTGCTGCAAAAAGTACAGGAATTCCGACCCCAAAGCTCCGCTACAGCGAAACTCTCTTCCGAGCAGGCAATGCTCGTACCTGCTCGCCTTCCTGAAGCGCTAGGCGTGATAGGAAAAAGATACAATTACGACTGATTGAAATAGACAGTTTTCCATGCCTTCCCCTACTTCATACACCACATTGTGTTGAAACGTTCATCGTTTGACGACGCCAGAAAGATAAGAGTGCCAGAAATTCTTGGACATTTTAAGTAGTAGAAAAGCTAGGGTTGATCTTATATTTGACTGTAATTTCAGTGTATATCGTGTGCTTGGGATTTGTTTCCTGGTATTGAAAGTTTTCCTTTTGGTGCTCGTCGAGATAGGATTCTTTCCAATCATTTGCGGCTGCTGGATGGATTTATGTTCCTTGGTGAGTTTTGAACCTCTGTTTTTTTCTCTTCGATTATACTTTGTAATAATAATACCTTTGCCTTACATCAATCTATCGCATTTTATTACAGAAACTCTTCTCTGCATCATTGTCTTCAAGGGCGGCATCTTTTGCAGCATCACCCACATCGTCTGTGTTTATCCACTGGATGATTGGAATGGTAAACATTTTGTGCTTATTTAACGTTTATAATAAAGTTCCTCGTGACTTTTACAGGTCTACGTTTTCTATTTCGCGTCATTTGTACTTTTGCTTCGCGAAGTTCTGAGACCAGGGGTATTATGGTTTATGAGAAATCTAAACGATCCTGAGTTCAATCCAATTCAGGAGGTCAGCACTCTATCTGGTTCACTATTTGCTGCTTTCACTCTACCACAACCGTTACCGTTTTTCATTTCTCGTTCACTGTGTTTAGAGTTTCATTTTAGATGATAGAGCTCCCGGTAACCCGTCATCTGCGCCGCTTGGTTGCCTCCACGGTTAGTGTTTTTCCTATATAACTTTGTTTCCTACATATATTAGGATGTATTATTATATTGTTTACAACACATGCATCCGTAAATGATTTTTCTTTGCTTCAGTCGTTATGCTTCACAACAATCTTTCTTATTGTCTATGTTCCTCTCTGCATTGTCCAGAAGATATATCCAGCGCTTCTTCCTTATAATATGAGCTTGTCTGCTGACACACCCCTTAGCGAGCTCTCGTTGGAGCTTCTCATACTTCAGGTACGTTTTTTCATCCGGATGTGGGACCTTCTGATTACTGGTCATTGATTGAGCTTCTCATGTCATGTACTCGTTGTGTTCAGGTAGTCCTTCCGGCTCTACTTGAACAAACTCAAGCTCGCATTTTATTGAAAGCAATTGTTCTGTGGTGGTGTGTACACATCGGCCGAGTCCTCAGTTTGGACAGGTATGGTGGAATGGAACTGAGACCGTACTATCTTTTGGTAAAGCAAACGATAAAAAATGTGTGAAACCCTTTGAAATCATCGTTGGGAGTTTCAGCTGAGAATATTTCAATTATTAGGGACGCATGTTTCTGAAATATGGGCTTTTTTGATGGATCAAGTCTTGACTTTTGTCTTCTTATGCTCTACTCCATTCAGATATATTGTGTACTTTCTGCACTTCCTTGCATTGTAAACCTCTTGTTGGGCAACTGCTCCTTAGTTGTCGGATTAGTTTTGACATGACCCTTCCCTAGAGTTGTTTTGGTTGCATGAACTAATGAAATTTTACTTCATAGTAGTTTATATTAGTTTACGCTTTCCATATAATTTCAGATATCTTCTACCCGATTTACCGAATGCGGAGCAACCAGCAGATGGAGCAGGTGCGCAAGGAGCTGGTGGGTTGGCAGCGGAGCATCAGGTTTGTTTCTCTTTTAACATAGAACCCCTGTAATCATGTTATTCTTTTCTGAATTTTAGGCCCTCCTCCTTCTTCGTGAGCCACAGGCTTTTCAACCGTACACTCGTCCGGCGCTTTTTCCTCTTCGTATACTGATTCTTCTGTGTGCTATGGCTCTCACATGTTGCTTTACTAGTTGTGTGCTTTTTCTTGTGCCAGGTACAGCTCACTATATACCTAAATATATTCGTTATCCTATTCCTAACTTTCCCTCTCTTCAGTGATGGTCGGACGGGGAATCATACACAATATTACTGGATATACCAATGTTCACGAGCTGTATACCGTAAGTCTTAGATCGCGTTTTCGAACGCAGCTTTTTTTTTNTTTTTTTTTCCTTTTGTAACTTGAGATGATAAAAGGAAGGAAACGATTTCAGGTGGGCACGGGGCTGTACATATGTTGGATGCTCGTGAAACTTGGTCTTCTATCTCTCCACTGGTTTCATCTCGGCGTTCATCACCTCAAAGAAGCCTTTGTTAATTCGATAAATCTCGTTAGTCATCTTTTTTGTTCGACCTTTCATTCGGTCCTCTCAAAAAGGTTCTCTTGAGTTTCTGCTGCGTTCAGAGTGACAATTATATTGGTTTTTGGGGCCAAGGTTCTGTCACAAATATTCTTTTTTTTTTCTTCATTTCACGTTGCGGTGCGCCAGTCAAAAGTGTGATCACCACTGTTAACCACCACAACCTACCTCCTACTAAACAGATCAGCGCTTCCTTTTTTCCCGAAATGGAGTTGAATTTGGTGACTACTCTACTACTGTCGTCAACTTAGTGAAAGTTCTTCAACAAGGCAAGCTTGAGCGGAACAAGTTTCATACAGAAGAATTCTATTAGGAGAATCCTGGGGATGGGGCTTAGTGTCCCAGCCTAGTTCATGGATTGTTTGGTGTGTTCCTTAGGAAATATGGAATCGCCATGTTAGAATACACTGATGCTTGTCTCAGCCGCTTTCCTTGAATTCGTACGCAATTCAAGGAAAGCGGCTGAGACAAGCATCAGTGTATGGCATCTTTCATAGTCCACGACCGGTCGCGCGATCAGTCAAGTGACCAGTCGAGCGACCAGTCGCTAGCGACTGGCGACCGGTCGCGCGATCGGTCGTGGACTATGAAAGATGCCTATTCTAACATGGCGATTCGTTTTGCAGCTGACTGATAATCGATGACAGCAGTGAGTGCCCGGTTTTTGGAGAGAAGAAGCACTCAACAGTTTCTACTAATTCCAAACTGATGATTGAATTGAAATCAATCAAATTTGCAATGTTCATTTCCGGTTTATTCTACTTTATTTTTGACTTATCTTTGGACTAGTGAACCACTAATTTTTCATACAAGCCCCATCCAACGAAAACCCTGCTCATTTCTGAAACCTCCCTTCTTCCAAACTATCTAAAATGTTTGCCATTTTTACGCAGTCTTTCCACCACTTTTTCAGAGACCACATAATCCACTGAGCCCGCTATGATCCCTTATTATAGCCTGGGCAAGTTTTTTTGGGTACTGCTCCGTTCTCGGACGGGCACCTATTCACCATAAACGTTTGTCCTTGCGTAGCCTCTAATTTTTCCCACTTTTCCTTTTACAAATACTGTATTTTCTGAACACAGCTTTGTGAAAGAGTTTCCGAAATATTCACTTTCTAATTAGTTCCATGATTTACCCGTCATAATTGGAGTTTAATCCATTTCATGCACACTACAGACCTTTCTAATTTCTACAGTTCATTTTTGTAGTTTCTAGGCCGTCGTGGAACCGGATTGTAAAGTCCCTATGTTGGTCCGAACCTTTTCTTCCCACCAACTTCAGCCCGTCTAATTAGTATTTATTAAAAAAATGTGGGATGGATTGTTTTCTGTGAACGTAGATGTGAGCTCAGATGAGTTGTGGAAACAATGGGAACATGGCGATTTGTTAGTACTACAAGTTTCGAAGAATTACTATTAAAATCCCCTTCTTTGCTTCACTCTGGCTCAAAATCTCTAGATGAGTTTGTATTCTGTCAATTTCGATACGAGCCGCGTGGCGCGCAATCCATTCTAACTCGGTGGGGTGATTGCGAGATGATTGATTCAGATGATTGATTGATTGGGTTAGAAAAATGTATTGATTTAGGCTCTTCGATTGCTGGTGATTTGTATACCCATTGTCTTCGCAATTCCCATGCTAATGGGAACCTACTTCCAACTTGTGGTCATCACACCACTAAGGTTGTCTTTTCAACAGGTCCGTTATATTGAATTTGGATTCTTTATAGCATTTGTAATTGCAAGATTACTTATTGGTTATTGCTGTGGATTAGTGCTGTTAAAAAATTAAAGTTATCCAAGGATTTTTGTAGACATCATTGACGTTCCTTTGGCAAGACTGGGCTATGGGGGTACTGCATATGAAAATTGTATGCGGAGCAGTGATGATGGGACCTGAGTGGTGGATGCGGCAAGTATTCGACCAGGTTTGAAGACATGCTCTCCGCTTCCTATTTTGTTAGATTGTTCTAGGTCAATCTAATAATTACATCTGAAGAAGTTGTTTGATTCCAGATTTACCAAGACGGCTTGCGACATCTTCGTGCGCGTTACATCCTTTCACAACTAGTTTTGCCTGTAGTTTTATTTCTTAGTTCCTTGCTTGCTTTCCCATATCTCATTGCTCGGTTCTACATTTTTGTCACAAGTGCGTAAGCCTTTTGAAGTTTACTTTAGATCCAGTTTACACTCTTCCAAGAGCATTTTATTCAGATGCTCCTCTTGAAGAGAGTGTCCTTGTTCTGCGATACTGTTTCCCTAGCAGTTTGATTCTTCTTCTAGTCGTAAGTTTCCTCAGGTGGCAACTTAACAAGATTCAAGGCTTAGCTGAAAATATTCGGAACGAAAAGTGAGTTGCCGGATTCAGGGAAAACGTTGCTGCATCTCCCATTATGAAAATAACCTTTCCAGATATCTTGTGGGAACTCGACTCGTTAACTACGAACGCAACGGTCTATCTCCGGTATCAACAGAAGCAGCGATTTCTTCGTAAAATTCCTGCTACTTGCAAATAATTTAATAAATTTTTATATTTGTGTGCGCTGTGTTGCTGTGAAATTAGGCTATACAGAAAGACCATCAAAAGTATGATCATTACTAGCGACAACCAATATGGCTTCTTTCACTACTGCCTAGGAAATTTGACTCTTGTAATAATAAACGGATTTTTTTAAATATTTCTCCTTCACTGATTTCCTCATCCCTTAAACATGAATTCCTTCTAAGTAAAAAAGCGAAGTTTCGGTGGAGAACAGTGCATCGGCGGCGAAAAACCGAAAAAAAAACCGCTACATCCATCGCCCTAATCCATGTTACCCCCGTTTCAGGGCGATAGCAGCTCTCCTGTTCGGAGAAAGTGTGACGTCAGGCCTTGACCGCAGGCCAGAACATCGAACACCGTCCCTAAACTATTGGCGACCGCGCTTTTATATTGTCCTTACATTAACCTTTATTTTCTCTTATATCTGTAGTGAGAAATGAATGATTCCTAGACTTCANATGGTCGCCAACGTGTTAAATCCGTAACGCGTCGGTAGTGGGAAGCTTTCTACGAGAAAAAGCGAAGATAAACTGGTGGCGAGATTTGTCGGCTCACAATTCAAGAGATTTATAAAAAAAAGTAAACGTCTGCCTTGAATCTTGAATCCACGCTCGTTCCCCTTTTACCGTCTGCTTCAGAGTTTGCTGTATGGAGCCACCTCGCGTATGATCCTACTAGATACAAAGGGAGGGTATACGCAAAATTTCTTTACCCACATTAGCTTACAATGATTTTTTAGTCCAAAACCACTTCATTTGCAATCGCTCGACTATTCCACACCATACACAAGCACAACCAGTAGAAAAAAAAGTAAGAAATATGTTTGCGCTATATTCTGACTTCATCAAAACAAGTAAGAATCAGCTGCTATGAAATGGAACACAGTTGTATAAAGGGAAAAATCCGAACACCGAAAACCGAGAAGACGGGACTTTATGGTAGATGGTTTTGAAAAGTGATTGACACTAGTGACAGTGCAACATGACATTTTGTAACAACAATCGATGAAGTTTTACTGAAAAGTACAGAAAAAGGCAACAAGACCGTCAACTACTGTAGGTAAGAGGAAATGTGCAAATGGGGATAGAGCGTACCACGTAGAAAACATGGTAACACCATTACGGCTTACGCCTGCACATCGATCAATTCCGGAGGAAGCTGTGCCTTTGGGTGTTTACTTTCGAAATGCTGTTTGTACGTCTTCGGATCCGGCATTTGAGCCATGCAGACTGTACACTTATGATGGAGAGCCTTCTGTGCAGCGCCTTTCTGATCACATCCTTGCGCTTTCTTAGCAGCTTCAGCTCTCTTTTGTGCTTTCTGTTGCGACTGAATCTTCTGATGTCCGCGTGCCATACTTCAAACTTGGATAATTAAACCTGAAAATAAGACGGTATTTTGAAAGATGTAAAGACGGTAGTAGAAGACACGAATGAGCTGGACTCTGCCCGCGGGAGAGGGAAGAGTTAGGGAAAGAGGAAGGCGAAATTAGCTTAATTTGAGTAAATATGGAGTCAAGCCAGAACAAGTGGAGAATAAACTAGCAATAAAGAATCAAAAGTTGAAGTGGGTATTCCAAATGAGATTTGCATTTGTGGAGGTATTCCCGGGTGCAGATCCGAATCTGCATTCCAAATTTGCCAAACGTTATTCTGAACGAGGTTATGAAGGTCACGTGAATGCTTGCCATAAAATACATCTAAAACATGTTTAAAAAACTACATTCCAGCAATGACTTGGAGCAGTGGTACTGTTGATGCTTCATATGCGTGAAACCGTATATCGGGTTTTGTGAGAAGCGTCACTTTTGCACTTTGCGGGGCTCAAGAGGGTGGAAACCCTTGTGCTGATTTTCCTTCAGCAGCCTTTTCAACTGTAAGAAGAAGTGAACGTCTTGCGGCTGTAATAGACTCGAGCTACCAGATAGGACATTCATCACCTTTGGTTGCCTTTGTGAAGGTAATGCAGACTTGACAACTACATAATCTCTGAAAAAAAAAACACAAAGGCCACACAAGCAAAATTGATTTTAGTGAGTGCCACCCAGCTTCAGCAACTGACTGATCATGTGCCTCCAAATTCCACGCGCGGGAAGAATTCCTTTTTCGAATCTTGCCAATAATTTCGTAGTGAATCTAGGTTTGGAAACGTGTGATTAAGCAGAATATTTCCCCAAAAGCCCCGAATTGACAAAAGAGCTTGTGACCTAACAATTAGTGGCATTTGACAAAAATGATAGACATGACTGTGAAAGAATCGGTGTCTAGCAGGGACGACAACATTACCCTTCCCAGTCCCTTCGAGCATCTTGAGCTAAGAATCGCAGTGTATGCATTCAACTCCGGAATCTCACAAAAAAAATGTGCAGGTAGTATTGTTGTACCTCCTCTAGAAAAACCCGCGATACGCAAAAGTGACGTCTTTCACAGAGTTCAATTCACGGTTCCACGCATATAAAGGCTTCGCGCTTACCAGTGCTCCAAGTCGTTGCTGTGAAAGCAGTTACGTCCATGTCTTGGTGTTTGTTTATGTTAAGCACCCACTTAAGCGCATATTCGAAATCAGCACCCGTAAATACGCCTAGCGGTATAATTAACACTTCAAATGGCCACTTCGATTTGGAATTATTCCCTTGTAAGCTACCTAAACACACATGACATGGGCAGGACCCGCCTTGGGGGGCGCGGCGTGGCGCTGACAAAGTGTTTCGTGTCTTTGGCCGGAAGTTCACAACTCATTTTCTCTTGGACCAGAGCGTTCAAATTGAGATGGGTACAGGCGGTAGATGCAGCAGAGCTCGGCGTTCGTCGAGCGATCCGACCGATGAATAAATAAATAAGTAGCGAATAGATAAATAAACGAGTAGGTGAACTAAAGAATTTTTGCGTTGCTTGCCTTGAAACAGCTCAACTGATTGACGCAAAGGAACCACATCTATGAAAATCTGTAGACAGAACATACTAAAAGATCACCTGTAATACGAAGTGATGATCTGAAAGAGGCTTCACTCGGGTCGCTTCATTCAATACACACAACGAATCGTATGGGTACGCAGGTGCGTCCGGAGATGCACACGGCAAATTGCACTGCAAAATTCGTGACGATTAAGACGAGGCTCTATTGTTTATTGTAAAGACAGAAACCACGTATACAAACAGCGACGAAGCCAAGTATTGAAACCACTCAAAATTTATTTATTTCATACACTCAAGAGAGCGCCTAACTTGGAGGACAGAAGTCTCCATCACAAAAAATGAAATCCCCATCACAGAAAGTCGCCCGTCCGGTGAACTGCTGTCCTAACCATCAGCCAAGTATGACAGTTGCCTCCCCATGAAGAAGAACAAAGTAGTTCTCAAGAGACATTAAAATGAGTATGTTTTCCGAAATGAAAGTCGTGCCACGTTACAGCATGGCTAAATTATCAATCTGGACTCCAAACTAACAAATGAAGAGGGATTCGAAAATGCTAATTATAAAGCCTTTAGGTTCCTTGCTACGGCTAGCTAGCTACTTTCCGGACAAGAGAAAAAGATCGCGGAAAGCGAAGGAAACAGTCAAATGAAACACCAGTCAAAAAAGAAAACGAGGAAAAGTGATAATAATGCGATCAAGAAAACCAATCTAGCATTCGCCAAGGCTTGGAAATATTGCGCGAGAAGGGAAGAGAGCTGTCGTCTTATCCTGGGAGTGAACTCGATTAAGCACATCGATCTGATCGATATAAGGAAATCATGTGGGCATGCACTGATTCGCCGCGCAATTAGCCGCGTGCATCTCCGCCATCTCCGGGTCGCAGGACTGTTGTCAATCAGAATTTCTCTCGCTGAGAGAATCAGACGGAGAAGAACTCCCTGCGTGTCGGACCCACCAGCGGGGGAAGGGCGTGTCCCCTCGTTGTCTGCCACACTCTCTTCCGAACTTATCTCTAGCCCAGAATAGCCCTATAAACGGCTGTAGAAATCGAAGACTGATCACAGAAGTGGTCCTATCGAGGTAAGAAAACTATTACCAGAATCGAGAGGAGAGAGAAAGGCAGTGGAAAATGGAGATGACTGTGGTTTAGTCCGACAACGATAGTTACTGCTTGAGCACAGCCGTATAAAACCTTTACAACAATAAAACCTCTAAATTTATGCTTTCCGCTTCTCGCTACTTCTCCCTTATGTAATTTAACAGTCAGATGTACTGCAGTAACCTAGTTATCAGGTTACAAAGTTCCAGATTCATTTACTAAAGGGAAAGGCAGTGAAGGAAGGCGAGCTCTTCCGCCTGCGCTCTACCTTTTGGAGGAGAGATGCCTAATGACGGAGACGCCGAGAAAACGTCAAATTGCTGATTCACACTGCCGGCGGTTGACAAGTGTCCTGCACCCGTCAACAGCGTCCTCCTTTTAGGCGTAGGATACGGTGGTAAACCACGCTACGCATAATTACACACAATGCGGTCCAGGGTGCTTTTTCATACTTTTTNTTTTTCCTTCGCGTGCCTGCTCTGGGGATGGACGCTTTTTTGACAGAATAGTTTTTTTCTCCTTTTGGTATTCGTTCTGCATCTGCTCCTTTATAATGGTATTTGAATGATAATAGGGAGTAGTTCTCTGCGGTAAGGCATACTGGTCTCAGTGTGGAACCACACTACCGTAAAATTAACTCGTGAAGTCGCTAAACAACTAAGATATCTAATTTTCACAAATTTGAAGCACCAGGATTTTTCGGCACCGTTTGAATTTGACTTTTTAATATTGGTATACAGTATTTTACAAATGTTAACGAAACCACTTCACTCAGGACGGGAGGGTATTGACAAAAAAGGGAAAAGAACTTGGTTCTTCATCATCCTGACTATGTGATAAAAAACCAGGTTTTCAATACTAAAGTGATTGTAGGGCTGTAGTGTCCTCCGTTATCGTGGTAGCCTTACTGTTGAAAGATAACTGGATATGACTGGAATAACATATTGATAAAATCTTTTGGCGTCAATCAATCCCGTCTGGGGGATGCGCCCCTGCAGTGGACTCCCAATCAGCATCGTAGTGGCGTAATAAGTGCGTATGTGGCCTATACAATCACTTGCGGTGGCCAACCAATGTACAAGTCAGTGCTTTTATCCTCCCGGAGGATTCTGGTACCAATCAACCGGCCCCGGAGGGATGAGGGGGTTCGCCTAGGCGGATATCGATCCGGGGTTCGAACCCCTGACCGTGCGTGGACATAGTGCGCCACTTGCTACTACACCCCTCCGCGCTAAAATAACATATGGATAAGGTGGATAATATGGGTGGTTATCAATATATTCACCAATACACACAATAAAGGGATCGACTCAGTTCTGAAAACGAAAAATGCCGAACAACCTCAATTCCTTATATACCATGCACATATATATAACTACTATTGTGGGTTGTACAACCTGAACCCTGAAAACAGATCGGGCGCATGAGTGAAGATCCTCGTAACTTCTGTTAAAGCTCACTATTTCCCTGCTGTTAAATAAATAACTCGTTTGTGAAATTGCTCGGTGTATGTTTAGGCAGTGTTTCATACTTCTCGTTCCATCAGTGATTATTGCCAAGTTTCTGTTCTGGTTTTTCAGGTAACTCAACAATGGGTGTTCCCGCATTCTTTCGTTGGCTCACCAGAAAATATCCTTCAATCATAGTAAATGCCAACGAAGAGCGTCAAAGAAATGCCGACGGGACGAAAATTCCCATAGATGCAACAAAACCTAACCCTAACTTTCAGGTGAGTCTATATTTTGAAATGTTTGATAGTTTGTCAGTTCTCTGGAATGTAGAGGTTCATTCTCTTCTGTAAATTGTTTTATATACTTTGAACCATTCTCTTCGTTGTATTGAGTTTGAGGATCTCAGGAATTTGACAATCTGTACCTTGACATGAACGGGATCATTCACCCTTGCACGCATCCGGAGGATCGCCCAGCTCCGGCCAACGAAGACGAAATGTTTGTAAGTGTTTTCAAACCACTCAATGTTTTTGTGTTGAATACGAGAAGATCAATCATTTTGATGCGCTGTCGTGAAATGTCATTGGAAATTGAGCATTTGCATATGTCAGCGCTCCTGTTTTGTCACTCTTCTGACTCCATTCAATCAGCTTTAATGGGATAGAAACCTGGTTGACTTGGGCGGTTATCGATTATGGTTCGATCCTGTAGTGGCGTAGGCGACAACGTCGTTCCTTGGCACTGTTTCGCCTCTGTGATCAAAAGATTCAGGATAGTATGCATAACAGATTACAACAACTGCTGCTTCCGCTTTTTGTAAGAAAACCTAATCAGTGGGACACCCCATAAATTCCAAAATGGTTACCACACAATATGCAGCTACCTTTTGCTTGAACATGTGACATAAGATTTCTTAGTTGTTATATTCATTATAGAGAAATACCTTAATAAATCTTAATCAAGAAAAAAAAGAATCACATAGTTTTTGGGTCCCCGAAAGAGAATCTTCATCTGCGAACTCCTCCTATTTGAGACATAATGTCTTCAAGTTCAGGCCCTCATCTTCGAATATATCGACAGAATATTCTCCATCGTTCGCCCTCGGAAGTTGCTATATATGGCAATTGACGGCGTTGCTCCCAGAGCAAAAGTAAGCTTGACTAGGAGAAGTTCAGCATCTGAAACGTATCTCGATCTGCTTACAGATGAATCAGCAACGTAGCAGGCGCTTTCGAGCTTCTAAAGAGGCATGGGAAAAGGCTGAGTCGATTGAAGAGGTTGTTTGTTCTAAATGAATTAAGAAGCATTTTAAAACATTCGCGGTGAATGCCTGCATATTGTCGCGAATTTTGAAGATGATGTTGTATGGTCGTAATAGGGTTTTTTGTGCTTCGTTCTCATGTAACTGTTCTCTGCCTGCGCTTATAATTCTTTGGGATGAGTCCTGGGCGTCAAAACGAAGTGTTATCCCGTAAGAATGATTTCTGCTTGTAAAGAGTCTTTTTTGAGAGTGGCAAAACCTGTTAGTGAATAGATGGAATGATTACAAAATCGCTTAACTACTTATTAGTGCTATCCTAGGACATGTTCCCACTTCTGCCTTGGCACTCGTATTATTTGAACAAGGTTAGATTAGACCCCAACATTAAGTGTTAAAGAAGGCCTCTGATGTATTGGCAAAGGATAGTGTTAGAATACAGGATATAATTCTTCCCAACTCGCTGCTTCAAAATGTCAGCGCATTTCAGCAACGTCGTCGTTTAGAAGAAGAAGGGGTGCCGCTACCACCAAGAAAAACAGATGAATCTCATTTCGACAGCAACTGCATTACCCCTGGAACACCTTTTATGGCCAGGTGGGTCTTGAACCGTAATCACACGGAAGCGGTTTGCCTAATCGTTTTGGGTCGTCACATTCCGATTCCTTATTGCCTTCCTTTTATTGCAGCTGTTCCTTTCATTAATCCCCTTGCAGTATGAAAATAAAAATGTACGCCAGTTGTAAAGTGGAAGAGGTATCGATTGACTGTGGTGGGAAAGTAATGTAACTAGTGATAATAACTATTTTACTGAAGTTTTCTGGGGTATAAGGAGTAAAGGATATCAAAATGGCGTTGTTCAACATCAAACCCCTAATCCTTCCGATTTTAACATTTAGTACTTGGTATTCATCAGACGACCTGTTGTTGTGTTAGAAATTCTGTTGTTGCTTATTCGTCCTTTCATTCAGATTGGCAGAGGTGTTGAGGTACTACATCCATGATAGAATAACCACAGATCCCGCGTGGGCTAAAATTCAGGTAATCATATTGCGACTTTTAGTTTTTATTTTTATTTTTGACGGCTTAGAAACAATTTATCACTAGGTGATCCTATCGGATGCCAACGCTCCTGGAGAAGGTGAGCATAAAATCATGGATTTCATCCGTAAACAACGTTCGAATCCTGCACATAATCCGGATACTGTTCATTGCCTTTGTGGGGCAGACGCTGATCTCATTATGTTAGGTTTAGCAACCCATGAAGCTAACTTTAATATTATACGGTAAGGTAATCTAATTGAATATTTTCTTCATTTTTTTCAAAGTTATTTTTCAGTGAGGAGTTCATTCCGAATCAACAACGTCCTTGCGATCTCTGTGGCCAGTATGGGCATGAGCTGAAAGAGTGTAGAGGGTAAGAAATCTTACGTTTGCGGTTGCCACTGGGGTTGTGAACTGGGAAGCTTAACCAAGTCTATCAGTACATCACGTCATCAACTTAAAATAGGGCTTTATCTATTCGATTATTTTCTGCGCAGGACTCTTGCAGATGGGAAATCTGAGCAGGTTACCATTGCTTCTCGTATGTCTAATTGAGAGTTTTTTAAGGCTCGAAAACGAGGAGAAAGGCCCCGAACACGCTGATCCCATATCAAAAGAGAAGAACTTCATTTTCCTCCGTATCCCTGTTTTACGGGAATATCTTGAGAGGGATATGGCAATGGAAAACCTTCCTTTTAAATATGATTTCGAACGCGTCATCGATGACTGGGTATGTTGTTAAGGTCACTGAAAGCCTGGCAGTAATTACTTGTGTGTATATTGCATTCTTCAGGTTTTCCTCTGTTTCTTCGTCGGGAACGACTTTTTACCACATCTACCCTCTCTCGAAATACGAGAAGGCGCTATTGATCGTTTGATAAAGTTGTACAAGGATATGGTGTACACAATGAAAGGGTGAGACTAAG